CCTGGAGACTGAAATGCGTGGGAAATGTAGTTTACGTCGGAAATACGTAAAAGCTTGGTCCCTCTATATTTCCTTTTTAGAGATCAGTCTGCGGTTGTATTGGACACCGGATAACTCGAAGTATTTAGTACGTCGACACAACAGATAGTGTCCGTATATTCCTTAAAATAAGGGCATGTAGTTTCTGATTTACTTCGTACAAGTTTCCGGGTTTGTCTAATTTTTAACTGTATGACAGCTATTTTAGAGGGACAGTAAACTCAGTCGTCGACCAATCCTGTAAACCCACTATAGTGGGTATGGTGCCTGAAGCAAAGCTGACCAAAGATCCATTGATCCAGCAAACGCAAGGGACGCAACTCTTTACTCTGAATGGCAGCGCCTTATACCGCTGGGCCAAGACGCTTCTCTGTTGTTGCCGTCTATGATTCTTTTTCTTTTTCTTTAAGTAATGTATATTATTCGTCGGACATATTTTGCGGTTCCCCTGAACAAATAATTATTGTCTTCACACTACTGTGTGCAAATGTCATTGACGTACGTAATGATATTTTACATTCAAGGTATTTCATTGTCCGTGATTTTGATCGTAGTATGAATTCGTGCAAACATCACCAACATCTGAAGGAATGATTTAAATCCGGCTAGGACCCATGCAGGTACCAAAAGTACTGTAAGTCCCTAGTGTGGTGATCTAAGTTCAGTTGCTGGTGATCTCCAGCCCATTGTTATATTGTAAAGTCTAATATATTTGTTTAATTTTAAAGTTGTATGCTAGGCTTAATTCTCTGAGATAATCTATTTCATTGACCGTCCTTGATCGACAGAATTTTATAATTTATTTGCATTATTGTGAATTTATAACTTTTTAAAGTCCAGATGTGACTATAGATCTTAACTCATTCACTAACGTAATTGTATTTTATAACACGTCATTCGATTAGCCAATGACAGTATTAAATTAAAGTAAACAGCTTTTCATCTGATAACAGTTCAAACATATTCATATGTCGTATGAGCTCCACTTCTTCAGTTATCATATTCGTTCCCGAGCAACAAAAACGCACCATCGTCCATGGTTTTGTTTCACAATGGTTTCTCATTTGTTTCGAGACATGCACAGTAATTATACACTGGAATCTTGTCGAGTGGATAGACCCCGTGCAGACAGCCATGTTGGCGGAGTGATAAAGTCTTAAACTAACGGGTTGTTTGGAAGTTAACGTGATCGATCGTTTATCAGGATAGCCACAGCTTTATCGTGTATTTTGGCTCGGAACGTGGCAAAAAGACAAAACCGTAGGCATCCCTGCCTATCAGCGACCATCAGATCTCCTCATGTAACGGCAATGGATAAACCATACAGGGAGAGAGGGAGGAGTATAGATCAACACTGAATGAAGAACATTCTCATCATTAATGCATACGTGCTCCTCATCGATCAGCGATCAGAACGGAACTCAAGTCTTCCTGAGTGACCGCAACGGGGAATGAAGACTAGGTTCTTCAGTTGTAGATTACAACAGGATAAAAGAAAATACCAAGACGTTGTGTCGGGAATATGTTTAAGCATCTACAGCAAAGTAACAGGGCTGTTTGTGTTGAAGTTATGCGGGAATAACACATCTGATGGACAACAGTTGGAATATAGACAACCAGAGCAGAACCGTTTGGTCTGAACGCAAATGTCTGAATTGAATGGAGGAATGGTCACAGTGAAAGATTACTGAATTATTCAACCAACAATACAGGTCGCTATTCTGAACTGACTTGATAATCACCGTTTTAAAGGATGAGTCAGAAACTCAAAATGAATCAGCCGGGAGACGTATCCATACAAGGATACTCTTTCAAGGAATATCAGCTCCGCTATGCATACAACAGCACTAACTGGATATCCGAAGACTCATAATGGAATGGTTCTTTCAGTAGAGGTGTATTATATCTATTGTTTATGGATCAATAACCGTTGTAGGCGTATCTCCTGACGACGGTTTACCCAACCAGCTCATATTAGTCCTAGAACTAAGTCAATGTTAGAGCTCATACGTGGCTTATTTACTGCTAACAATATGGAATGGTACTGCCGCATTTAACGTGTTAGCAAGATAAATATTCCCATTGACTTCTGAAGTGGTTAATCTGTAACTGGCAGATCCAACTAAATTATTTCAACATGAATTGGAATTATTAAGATTGATATTTGATTATCAATGTAGGGCAAGGTCCTTTATCAATGTTGAGAATTATTCAGAATTCTTAAGATGAGAATTATTCAGGATTGTTAAGATGAGAATTATTCAGAATTGTTGGTAATTTGGATGTTTTCAGAAGTTACTGAAACGCCGCAATTGGCGTACGTGACTGTCAACGTGACGTTTAGTAGACCTTATTATAATTTCAATCCACAAATGATATTTTATTTAATGTCCTGAGAAAACACAATACATCAATTACAGGCAGCGAATAACATATTTCCGATGGCTGTGAAGCAGCTGGTGAATTCATGTGCCTCATCCCAACCAAATGTGGAGCGCTGCACATACTTGACACTGAACGTAACGCTGCTCTTTGGGATTGATAGCCGCATTACGAAGCGCATACCTCGACGGAGTGTATACAAAACTTAAATAATCGCGTCACTTCTCGCAGCAAATCAATGGACATCTCTTTACAACGTGTAGATTGATGTTTTGGGGAGACGTGTTGCCTGTATTTTCATCATATTGATATTCCCAGCTTTACATTATGGCTCATTTGGATCATATGTACGTTCGGCAATCATACTGATGTCACTTGTATGACATGAGGATATAACTATTGGAAGCAGCTCCAATCCGTGGTCCAAATATGGTAGTTTCTTGTCACTTTTTGCTTACTGCAATTGAAAACGGACTAGTCTCCTTAACGTTGCTCCCCAGTGTCAGCTTCTGTGATAAATCAATTTAGGAAGCATGTTTTCAATCCTGAGCCGCTTGTGACAAAGTGACTTAACATTGATGACCGCGAATCTGATGTGATTTCATGTTCGGTGTCAATTGGCTCAGAAAACCAAGATCTGGATCTCACCTGGGTTAAGCTGCTTAGGTACTGAAGGCGAGGATCTGCTCATGTAACCGCTACATATATGGATAAGCTAGGGGAATCCCAACTCGCAGCCACTCTTAACACTGGTTCTCTTCAGCTATGGATGCCTAATGAAGTATCTCTGGTTTGTCAATCTGATGGAGCTTGTTTTGCCTGATAGTGATTGAGTTTTTATTCCTTTAGTAAGAACTGGGACAGCCGAGTCGGTGTTTTTAAACGCAATGTGCTATTAACAAGTTGGTGGAGATGCACATGTCACTATGAAGCCCATCGGAGAAAGTATCGATCCCTTGTGAATTGCCATTAACTTACTGACAAAACCGCTACAGACAACTTTGTATTTCTTCCACGGAGGAGAGAAGTCACCGATGGCTTGGATAGTTAAGATCTCTTTATTGAGTAAAGCAAAAGAGGTATTCTAGATCACTTTCGCTGATGTCAGGGAATGGTGCTTTCTTCGGGAACAAAGATGGAGCTGGATTTACTTACTGTGTGACGATTTACTGTCTGAAAGGTTATACGTCTCCGCTGAACCATTCATAACAATTTACTGTTTAAGTAGATGCAAGTATTGTAATCATCTAAGGAGTATTTAAGCACGAAGCATACATGAGCGTATGCATTATGTCGGAAAGCCCACGTTAAATCTCCAAATCATCATCATTGTCAGGAGCGTATCGTATTCATGCATAATGGACACGGTTCCACAATGTGTTGGATTGAATAGTCCAACTCCACCACTCACTGGTTACCTGGATGTTATGATATAATATTTTATGACATTCTTCTGAAGACTTCAAACCCTACGAGTGTAATCTGAGGATTCTTACAGTGGTGTACGGTTGTATCTGTGTTAGAGGAAGATACGCCTGTGTCAATCTGTGACAGAAGAACCAGATTCTTCAGTGTAGATCTTTCATGTTAATATTTTATGTGTGATATCACTGGGTGGCTACTTTTAACATAACGACAAGCGATCGATAGACACAGCTACTGTCGGGAACATCTGTATACATATACCAGCTTAGGTACATATTACCTGTGACTCACTGCGACGCCCGCCAGTTACTGAAAGCATCTGGGCAAAGCATCGGGCATATTTTTGAGAAAGGATTCATTGATTTGTCTGAAATACCCTTGAGCGCCTTGTCCAGAGTCGGGGTGCTTTGGTGACATTGCTCATAGTTCTTCTACTTCTGATGGAGATGTGAGGGGACTCGGCAGTGCTGCCAATGTGGAGTTTTGTGCGCTGACATTGAACATTTTCATGAATTATGAGCTATTATCATCGGCGTTAATGTTTTGTGTGTTTTGAGAAAGGATATCGTCGGTAGTGTTTACGAAAGTGATTGTGAGGTTCTTATTATAGTGACTGGGTCAATAGCTTGTGTATTTGGGCATACAAATGTACTGTTCCTTATGAGTGCTTTCTCTAATCTCTTACCTAACACGTGTTCCGCAAAGGTGATATTACATAATGCCAGCTTGTTATTATACTTATAGTAGAAGAACCTGACGAACTGACTTCTTGCAAGTCTTAATCATCCACTTAATCTGAACGTATTAGCTAATCAAGCGGAAATAACATCAGGTAATAGAATAGCGAGGGACAGCCCACATCGGTCTCCTGGATTGGAAGAGTTGTTACATGAAGGTATCTAGACGGAACCAGCAAGGTTGATGAAGACACTACAAACTGACATATGACTTAACATCAATCATTGATCAATGGCTGGCCGCCAACATAGGCGAGAGACTTCAAATAAAGGAGATTAACATATAAATACTTTGGATTAACGCTGTGTGGATTAACGGATTAACAATGGTGACCGACGACGCGATTAGTCTGCTGTTGGCGATGGAAGAGGACGCGTGCTTGAGACGTATGCTAAATGAACGTTTCACTCTTTCAGATTCAGGAGTGGTATATTGTAACTCTACCTTCGACACTGTCTCGTGTTGGCCTCCCACCCCCGAGGGAATCCTTGCTGTCATTCCCTGCCCCCAGGGTCTGAGTGTGGTTGATCCAACAAGTAAGTAGATGCTTAAATATTTACTGTCTTTCATACTCAGTCCGTGGAACGATATCGTTCCCCCTTGCTTCTTGTATGCAACATTGTTGAGTCCTGTTTCCTTCCTTAAGATCGATGGATTCCCTTGATGCCATGCAACACTTATTAATGGAGATTGTTGCAGATTACAGAATACACAACAGGCACATTTGCGGCCTTCTATTAGTATTGAAATTGCTTCATCCCGAGTTTTTCCATAATATTGACTCTACTCAAAACATGGCTGATTTGATACCTGATGCTGTTCACGGGGAGTGAAGGGTGGAATTGTAATTAATGGGGGTGCGAACGAACGGTCACAATAATAGCTTCCATTAACTAGGTGCCTGGTTTAGTATCATTACTTCACACTTGTGCATACTGACAATACAACGCCGTACGTGGAATATCGGAAACATGCTCGGGCCTAGTTGAGTATGTCATCGAAGAATGCAATGTGTATTATTACTGCCTTTCTCGCTAACATATGCATACATATACCTCAGCCACATATGATGAAATGCACGATCAAAAACCCACCCCTACTAACGCGCAAACTACCACGCCCTCATTCCACACCTGTGCAACATCAAGATCCCCACCTATGTCTACATCCATACTCACCACATCTACCCCAACACACGATCATCAACCCACCTCTACTGCTGCGCGAATTACCACACTGCATCCATAATCACACTCGCAAAACTTGAAACCAAAACAACCACATCCACACACGTGTCCAAATACACACCTACATCCATCTACACCCACAGCAACACCCATATGTACATCCACGCCAGTATCAACGCCAATATACACACCCACATTAATCTACATCCACAACAACACCCATATGTACATCCATGTCAGTATCAACGCCCATATACACACCCACATTAATCTACATCCACAGCAACACCCATATGTACATCCACGCCAGTAACAACGCCCATATACACACCCACATTAATCTACATCCACAACAACACCCATATGTACATCCATGCCAGTATCAACGCCCATATACACACCCACATTAATCTACATCCACAGCAACACCCATATGTACATCCACGCCAGTATCAACGCCCATATACACACCCACATTAATCTACATCCACAACAACACCCATATGTACATCCATGCCAGTATCAACGCCCATATACACACCCACATCTACACACGTATCTGTATCCAAATCCACGCCTACATCCACACATACATCTACCCCAACACGCGATTACCAGTCCACTACTACTGCCATCCCGACTACCACACCCTTAAAATCCTGTGTCCACACCCGCAAATTAACCCACATCCCCATGCACACCCACAAGACTCACATACACACTCATCACGACATCCACACATGTATCCAAATCCACACCCACATACATCCACAACCAAATGCACATCAGAACAAACCTTCGCATGCACATCAACATCCATAAACATCCACCCACGCATCCAAACATTCACCAGCATCTACAGACACTCCAACATCTACAGACACACCCACACCCACACTGATACCTACACCAGCATCCAGATCCACATCCAGATTCTCATCCACACCCACGCCCACACCCATACCCACACCCACACGAACAACCGCAACCGAACCCGTACCTACATCGTAACCATAACTACAGCCACACTAATCCACACGTACACTACACCTGCATCTACAGCCATATTCACACATATACCCACAGACGTATCCAGGTACCCACCAACACCCACAACACCCACATCCACATCCACATCAACATCAACATCCACACCCACACCCACACCCACACCCACACCCACATCCACACCCACATCCACATCCACATCCACACCAACATCCACATCCACACCCACACCCACACCCACACCCACACCCACACCCCACACCAACATCCACATCCACACCCACACCACCCATCCACACCCACATCCACACCCACATCCACACACATCCATCCACATCCACACCCACACCCACACCACACCATCCACATCCACACCCACACCCACATCCACACCCACACATCAACATCCACATCCACACCCACACCCACACCCACATCCACACCCACACCCACACCCACACCCACATCCACACCACACCCACACACCCACATCCACATCCACACCCACACCCACACCAACATCCACATCAATATCCACACCCACACCCACCCACACCCACACCCACATCCACATCCACATCCACATCCACACCCACACATCCACATCCACATCCACATCCAGACCCACATCCACATCCACACCCACACCAACCCATCCACATCACATCCACCCACCCATTCATCCCACATCCACACCCACACCCACACCCAAACCCACACCAACATCCAGAGCCACATCCACATCCACATCCACATCCACATCCACATCCATATCCTTATCCCACACCCATATCCATATCCATATCCATATCCACATCCACATCCACATCCACATCAACTAACAACCACATCCACATCCATATCCACACCCACAATGAAACAGCCTTACCCTTTTGCATACACCTTTAAGGACCCACACCCACACGAACAACCGCAACCGAACCCGTACCTACATCGTAACCATAACTACAGCCACACTAATCCACACGTACACTACACCTGCATCTACAGCCATATTCACACATATACCCACAGACGTATCCAGGTACCTACCAACACCCACAACACCCACATCCACATCCACATCAACATCAACATCCACACCCACACCCACACCACACCCACACCCACACCCACACCCACACACCACACCCACACCCACACCCACACCCACACCCACATCCACCCACATCCACATCCACACCCACACCCACATCCACACCCACACCCACACCCACACCCACACCCACACCCACACCCACACCCACACCCACACCACACCCACATCCACATCCACACCCACACCCACATCCACATCCACACACCCACATCCACATCCACACCCACACCCACACCCACATCCACATCCACATCCACACCCACACCCACATCCACATCCACACCCACACCCACATCCACACCCACACCCACATCCACATCCACACCCACACCCACATCCACATCCAGACCCACACCCACATCCAAACCCACACCAACATCCACATCCAGACCCACACCCACATCCACACCCACACCCACACCCAAACCCACACCAACATCCACATCCACATCCACATCCACATCCACATCCACATCCATATCCCATATCCATATCCATATCCACATCCACATCCACATCCACATCCACATCAACAACCACATCCACATCCATATCCACACCCACAATGAAACAGCCTTACCTTTTTGCATACACCTTTAAGGACTCTTCAGATATGCGACGCTAGATCTTTTACAGAAAACGTACAACATATAGGTCAATTATTCCAACGAAGTGAAAAACACTGCAATAGATAAGATATTGTTTCATCAGAAAATACGACACCTGGTGATATGTGGCTGAAGGCACCGCACAACCAGGCTGTATATCGTCAACCTTTTAAGCTCCATCCTCAGTATCAATGTCAATGTACATCATGAAATATACATAATGGAATGTCTAGCAACCATTTTATAAGTAGATGCATTATCACACTTGAAATTAAGAAAATTGATGGTTATAAAACCTTTATATATGTTTATCCACATTCCTCCCGCAAAGATCAATAGTGTTACTTTCTTTACACACACCGACTTTCATATCCTAAGCTGTATCATATTGTGTCACTATATGATGAATTCAAACTTTCATATATTTGAATTCCGTTCCAATTCGAAAACGTATTGGTAAACGATAAAGTCAAGGTGTGAAAAAACTGAAATATTTAGGTTTTTAGTAAAATCCCCCAGTAAAAATCAGAAAAAAATCAGATGAGTTTAAATTTAACAAATAGGTTATCACAAACACACACGCGCACGCATGCACGTGCACACACACACACGAGCACGCATGCATGCATATATATGTATGTGTTCCTTGTAAGGTAATAATGTGTCGGTACTTTTTAGGCAACATTCAGACATTACAAAATAATTACTAAAAACGTAGGTTTGCGTTTTTCTGTATATAGCTAGAAACAGTACTGACAAATGAAAACCCGCTCAGTAGATGATCATTATATTAAAAGGAACATCTGGATGACCACTTACTGTTGGTACAATGGACTGCAGGATGAAAGTGGGGCAATGGACGCATATAAATGATGCATTGATTGTTGGCGCATTTATTCAGCCGACAAGTAAACTGATGGCTTGTTTAACACATTTAGTTGTGTGTGATATTCCCATACAGACATCAGGACCAATCAATTAAAACACATCACTGTTATAGCTTTTAATATACTTAAAGTAGCGTGCAATATGCTTTCTAGCAGAGGATCGCTTGAGGTGGTTGCTCAAGGACATTGTACGATGAGGGACGGCGAGTCGAGGAGTATTTTACCTTTTCCCTATTTGAGAACGTCCCTTGTGGCCTTGTTCGTGCCTATAGACATAAATGTACTGTGTTTAGAAATTTGATATTGTCTAACGGTAGATTAGATACCACTTATAATAATTGGAATTGAGAGCTTCAGTGCGGTATTCGCAGCGTATGCACGAGATGTATCTAAACGCAGGTTTATCTCCAGGTATATCTTGTCTGCCATGACAAAAAGGATCGTTTAGAAACGGAGCTCGTTTGGAACAGACACTTACACATTTGTTACAACTCGCCGAGGAGGGATCACAGAGAGATACCTTATATTTGTTACTTCGATTTTGCTCTAGTATATGCCTGCATGCACACTTACCTACACACGTACCGTACCGTCCTACCTACCTACCAAAATGCCTACCTACGTATGAAAATACATACATGCATGCAAGTCTGTCATGCAGACCCTGAAGCAAATATATATCCAAGAAAGCCCACGCAAGTCTAGATCACGAGGCAAAGAAAGTTT